TTAAATTATTGAAACGATGGTTTATGTATATGTGCAGAGAGTATCGCCATGGACAACAAGAGCAAGATGGTCTGGCGTAAGAAGAACGAGGGAGGCTATGTTGCACCGGATCTGCCAGCAATGTTGGAGAAATTTTAAAGGGTGGAGCTTGACGGATTTGACAGACGATGTTCGTGTGGCTGGAAACACCCACACTTGAATCAAGCATTACAGAGCCACGGCACACTGAAATTTTTGAAGCAATAAGACCAATCTTGCGTCAGGTTGTCGGCGTGACTCACGGGTGGTCCGGCCTGATCGGGACTGCAAAACATTGCAGAGGATTGACAATTGAGACGGGTAGTTTTAGTTTTTTGGCAGATCAGCCATTCACCCATGAAGTACACCTGTAAGTATCCCACGGTCTTTAAAGAAAAAACATTTTTGACAAGCGTTTGTACGGAAGCTGGAATGGCCTGGATTTTTTTTTTACGTTCTATGTTATTAGTGTAATAACGGGCGGGCGCTTGTATCCAATTTCGTTATGTCAACATAGACATACAGATCTGTTTTTTCTTGGATATAATCTTAATTATATGTGTTCTCTTGATTTCCCTAAAGAGCTTGTCACAACAACTTCAGTTCCAGTACACAGTAAGTGTATTTTACCGTTTAGCCTACAGCTACTGCAGTGGCTTACCGTTCGTGACAACTCTTTTCAATTTTGTTATTCGAGATAACAAAATTTTGTTTTTTCTCGTTTACGATTATTATTTATTTTTCGTTTATCTTTTCGATCATAACAATAGATCTTGTTATATCTGATACCATTATTGTTTAAGGTGTTGTTATTTCACATACTCATAGTCGTTTAATTTTCTCGTAGCCTTGGCTGTAGGCCTGTAGCCGACGTGCTAATCTGTGACGAAGCCTTGTTTGTGGCACGCATTGTTTATTTATATTATTAATTAGACGTTAACCTTTTAATTAATTATTTCGTTTATTCGACCGACATTATAGTTAATTCTTGTCTTATGTCGTAGCTTACGAAATATTAATTCGTATATATCCACCTGTTGATACCAATACTTTTGTTATCTCGGATAATGAATTATAAAGTCGTGTTTCGAGATAACAGTGCATAAAAAATAAAAAAATCCATGGCCGTTCTCGGCTTCCGTAGTTTGCAGTGAATTTGTGCCAGTAATGTTTGCACAGACGTAGAAAGGTAAAGAAGCATAAAAAATGCAGTCATTACCTGGGAGGCACAAAACCAGAGGGACTAAAGCAGGTAGGTGTGTGCAGGGAGGAGATTGGTCAGGTGTTGAGAACAATAGCGTGGGCAGGTGAGGAGCGGCAGGGTCTGGAATTAGAGCTTAGGTCAGTAAAACATGGCAGCTGGAAGAAACAGAACAAATGGAGTCAGACGAAAAACAATGACGCCCCACAAACTGTATCAACATCTCTGCGGAAGTGCAGGTTGTTTGCATGATTAATCCACCAAAGCTCCACTCAAACTTTCATTTTTTATGTGAACTCACGGGAGCGGTAACAGGTGATGCTAACAGAACTCGCTGCCTGAGAGTCTCAGATGTGCGCAGCATGTGGCCAGATTAGTTCACCGTCTGCATCATGATGCCATCTTTCAAGGGGCCCTTCGGCGGCAGGTGTGGCCCCCGAAACAGCTGCTTATGTTGCTTAATGGGCCAGGCCGGCTTTGGCGCTCATGCAAATCTCCCCCGATGAATAAAAAGGGAAGAAAACAGCTGACTGCTCTTTGAAAGTCACCGTCATCTTCTCGGATCAAGCTGCAGGACAAACTCCATCAAGCACAGAAACACACCAGGTATCTGTTTCTGATGAGGATTTTCTACTCTGTTGTGTTTTGCTTTGTGAAACCTGAGGGGGATTACATAGATGTTGTTGCATCTCTGCAGATGTTCCCGATTCTTCTGTACTTTCTAAACCCAATATTCCCCCAATTTATGATCCTGCAGTCACTTTTCTGTTTATACCAAAACCCCGAGGAGCATTAAGCCGTGCCAACTCTTATCAAAACTCCCAAGACTGGGGCTGAAAACAGCAGTCAAACTGCAGCAGGCCTGTTGAACAAGGAGGCACAGTGAGGGTTGATGTAACACGCTGCTTTATCGTGTGGGTGTGTGTTCAGTCGAACCGTGACTGAACATGAAAAGCCCACAGCAAAAACAGGTTGTTGTTTTCCCTCCCAGTTGAGTCTCCAGAGATCTTCTGCACCTTTCAAACAAAACAACCCCGAACAGACGAAAGTAGTCGAGAGCAAAGAGTGGCATAAACAACAATCAAATTAATATTGAGGCAAAACCAGGCTAAATTATTAATTACTGAGTGATGAAAAACATGAGGAGAAGCTCGTGTAACAGAGCTCCTCACACAGCCATTAAATGTTAATAGGATTTACTACTCTTATGTTATATTATATATTAGTAGCTAAGGAGGCCTAAGACAAACTTACTCGTAGTTCAGTGCTTAGTTCCAGTGAGAAACATTTAGGAGGATTTATATATAATATGATATTCATATGTATGTTTTAACTAGTGTATCATTACCTCAAAATAATACATACATCCTCAAAAGACTTAATATAAAAAAGGGCTGAGTTCTTACTGCATTTGCTTCATGTTATCTCCTCTCGATCTCTACACCTCTCCTGTCTCACTCTGCTGTCACTATCCAAATAAAGCAAAATGCTAACAAAAAATAATTTAGAAAAAAAAGGAACACAGGTTTTGTTATTTCATAGAAACAGGACAGACTGTACCCAAACGCCAAGCAATGATAACATGAAGGACAAGAAACAGCAAAAACGGCTCTCCCACAGGCTGAGACGGAGATCAACCTTGAGCATAACAATGTTATTCTGTGAGAACCCAATGGGACTGAAGTTGTCCATGAACTTAACAAAAGATTGAAAACTTGTGAACAGATGAGTTCAGACTCCATTTCAGACTTATTTGACTAAACCTGTCTCCCTTACAAACCAGCACAATACGTTTTTATACAGTGTTTGACAGGTCAGTTGTTTCATAATCTGGTGATTGGTATAGACAGAGAGTCTCCATTCGGCCTTGCTTCAGAAGGGACGGGACAGACAGGTACTGACGGTTTTTCTCTGCTCAGTTGGTGTACAAGCTGACGCAACTATTTCAGCTGTTGCTTGGCACTAACTTCATCTTTCAGGCAGATACAGAAACAACCGTCAGTCCAAGACCAAACCAAACCAAAGTTCACATGCAAAGATCTTCCGTGACACCAAAGCCTAAATTCTGACACTTCTGCAGCACAAATTCATGACGCAATAGAAGAAAGCAGGAAAAGAAAAGGCATCAGTCGTTTCAGCAAAGACATGTTTATGTTCAAGAGACAAAGCAAAAGGAGGAAGTGACGTTGTTATAGATCCACATAGTCCACAGAGGGAGAACGTCAGGTTGTTGTTCCCTAACTTTATGCTCTAAGTAGCAATCTGAACCTAAACCATGATGTGTACAAGTTGTTTTTATGCCTAAACCTATAACTTTAACCATATCAGTGTCAGATCAGGAAGGCAAATATAAAGTAGCTGTAGCTTTGTTTTAAAGGGGTCACAAGCTAAAAACATTTGGAACCACTGAGGTAGGTGATGCCTGTTTGATGTACCTGAACACAGACGCCATTCACCTGCTTTGTAGGATTTCCTCTATGTTTCTTTATTTTTTTATTGATCAAATATTTTGCCCCTGAGATACTTGTTTTCTAAATCATCTTCTTACTATGACTGATGGGATCAGAATTGAGTAACATTTTCTTATTTTTTGCTTATTTAGCATGAATGTTCAAGAAGTATTTCAGATTTCAAACAAGTATTTATTGACGTTATGGAACAACAACAAATGGGAAATAAAATTTTCTTTATTTTTCTCCTGGATTTCATCAAGAGTTCTGGTGCAAAATATCAAGTTAATGCTCACTTATAACAAAATAGTGTTTTGAAGATTTTTTCACAATCAGTACATGTAGTTGAACACATCTCCCAACCATAATCACTGTAAGTTCAATACAGTCAATATGTGGTTAATGTAGCTCTACTGACCTATTGGATATTTATTTCTTATTCCATATCCGTCAGTATGAGCTGTACGGATCTTCGGATGTACTGTATGTTGTTTATTGTGTCTCAGCAGCGTCAACCAGAAGACAAACTCTTGCACATTTGTTTAGACGTGATGACCAAAGTGATTGTGACTGTGGTTCATCGTCCCACTCAGGAGAACACGGAGCTCATTCTTCATTCGGCCACTTCAGTCCGAAAAGGAAAAAAAAACAGCCCTTCCCTGATTTACTGAAATCTATCTTTGTCTCGTGCAGTTCAAAGTCTTGTAAACTAATAATACATCACTGTGCTTTGACCTTGGGGCATAAACAGCAGCACCGATCTGTTACAGAGATACAGAGTGAGTAATGGCACAGAGCTGCGTGGACGACCTTTAACACCCGGCCTCAATGGCTCGCTGCCCGCTGTCAATCAGTCAGATGGAGCTGTGACTAAACTAGACTCACTGATGGATACAGAGAGAGGGTTTAATATGCAGGAACATTATGCTAAATGCGGTGAATACAATTATGATGATACATCTGATTAGGTGATCCACCCACACTGTTTCTTTTACAT